TACATTCTGTAGGTGTTTCGCGTACCAAAACGAAGATATCATTATGCGAAGATATCATTAACGAAACGAAGATATCATTAACTTACGAGCTGCCGAAGCCACCCACATTCTTTTCGCCTGTTTTCTCGCTTACCATGCATCTTCTCGCTGTAAGCGAGATGTTTCTGGTATTACCAAAAAAGTAATTTACTAATACATGGGAAAAAATGATTTTCTATTTGTCGTCGCTTTGAAGGGGGACTATATAAAGAGCAGAACTAGTTTTCGCGTAATACAGTGAAGTATAATCTCACAATCCCGAAAACACCGCTCTTATACCGTGACACGACACTTGGTATAAGAGAGGGAAGGGAACGAGCGAAAAGTAAATTCGGGTGAAGTCGCCGCCTCGAGATTCAGGCACCAAACGCAATGACGTCATACGTTTCGAAGGCGTCTGCTGGGTCCTGTAGCTTCTAATCGATAAATATAAAGTACATTGTCATCAGCGGGTGCACAGACCTATAACATACAACGTCTCAAAAAAAAAAAATTCATCGAGCCAATGTTGCGAAAATAGAAAAAAAAATGAATTTTGAGATTTTTCGGTCATTCGTGAAGGTTTCCGCCTGATATTAAAGTAGGAAGCTTCAACATTGGTTTTCTCCACTGATATCGAATTTTCGATTGTGAAACATATAGCGTTAGAGTTTTCAAAGTGCACTCTTAAAAAAAAAAAGGCAGTGCTACTTACTAAGTTTGAGGTAGTAAATTGTGGTCACAACATTCACTGCCTGTAGTTACTTCAGGTAGTAGGCCACAGACGTTTACTACCTTAGACGCAACCAGAGATAGTAAATGACTGTTTTCTACTACCTGCAGTTACTACTTAGGTAGTGAATGTTGTGACAACAATGAACTACCTCAAAGTTAGGAAGTGGCACCACCTTTTTTTTTTTTCAAGAGTGTGCAGTTTGTCGATGTCATTGTTTTTCTTTAGTGTCCCTTCAAAAAGAACTGATTTTTCCATACTCTATCGCTCGCTAGCTATTGCGGCGGAGACAAACTTGGGGTGCCGTTGATGCATGCGATGTATGCGTATAACGAAGATGTACAACGCGTGATGTGTCGACGCGCCTCGCTTTTAACAGAGCGATAAACACGCAGTAACTGAACACGTCCCGTCTCGTACATTGCCGCCTACACGTGCACTCTCGTCATTTCTCGCAACGCGTTCAATCATCCCAGACAGACGCGTTTATGTCAGGTTTTCTCAAAGACCCAGATGTGGCATTTCTAGTGTTTATATCCGTATACATCCGGACCAGAACATAAATTAATCGCGACGATGGCGGCAGTTCATTACTTAGTGCCGTAATTTTTAACACGAATGGTGTCGTCTTATAACTGGTGTATGTGAAATACATTTTAAATCAATAGGGTGGAGAGATAAGGTTATACTCGTCGTTGATGATACAACTTGCAAAACAAAACATGCGTGAAATGCCATCTAGTGAGCAAGCTTGCATAACGAGGCTGCAGGATTAGCGATAGATGACTTTCAGCGCAAAAAATGTATTAACGTTATAAGCAGCATGATTATATAGAGAAGTGAGTTGGGTCAATTGGTGCGCAATAACTGCTTGACTACCTAACGCAAAAGAAGAAAACTCTTGAAAATGCAGAGACGACAGATTGGACAGAGCGATGTCTCTACCTTGTCCGTTTTTTTTTTGTTTTTTTTTTTGTTGCCTTTTGTGCTATAGTTTTGTTTGCAGTTGACAGCATAATAAATTAACGACAGGAAAAGACTAAGGATAGAATAGTTAGTCGTGATGCTGCATGTGATCGTTTTGTAGTCACTGTTGATACAGGTATTTGTGACTCAAACGTTCCAACGGCGTTATTTATATATATAACCTTTATCTTCTATAATTTCTAACGTCTTATAATCTTCAAAATATATCAAACAAATTGTACGAGCACGCAAACGTATTGCGCATCGATGCATTAACTATACGCAACGCTTTGTCTATGCCCGTCATAATGTGGCTATGGTATACTCTGGCCCGAAGGTCACGTGATCGAATCCGAACCGAAGCAGCCACATTTTGCTGGAGGCAAAATACTTGGCGCCCGCATATTTCCATTCAGGCGTACGCTATAAAGAGCATCCGATGTGGCTTACATATATTAAGCAAAATACGTGAAACCTCGACAGTAGCATTAGGTATCGTTCTAAATTATCCGAATTCTCAAAGTCTTGAACATTTAACAAATCTACGCACAGTCCACCGTTACGATGTTGATTGCATCGGCATACTTTAAGGTAGCACGTTAAAAAAAACCCAGGGGGTCAAAATTTCCGGAGCCCTCCACTACGGCATCTCTCATAATCATATGGTGGACTTGGGACGTTAATCCCCACATATCATATCATCATACTTTAAGGTATATCGACACTCTATACGTAATCAGAGTTCCAGTTCTTGATATTAGTTTCAGAATGCTGCTCTGCTTGCAAATCACGTTGCGCTCGCTCATGTAGTTTCCAACTATGTGTCAGTATATAGAGAAACGTAGTCAAGAAAATGCAGAAATATGCCGCATCAGTCTCAGATAAGCAACTTCTTTTTTTCAGGTAAAATAATGAAGAAATGCGTTCTTGTGGTGATCTACAAAAGTAAAAAATAATATATGTGAAAGTGCACGTATATAAGGAATGATGGGGACGGAGTTGTTTTGATATATTTATATATTTTTTTCTTGTACTATTCCCTAATGCGAAGTATGTGATGTAAGGTGTACTATACGGCTGGACTAAAGAAGTGGCACGAGCGCACTCTGTGACGGCTTGCGCACCCTAAGAGGAGACGATTGGACAGATACTTCACAGCTCGTTGCAGGCGCGGGTTGGGCCGCTGTGTGCCATGAACTAGCGGCGGTGAAAAGTGGGGACTATAGACACGAAGCGCAGGCCGCAAGAGAGTGCACCCATGGCGCTCCTCTATAGTCCGGCCATGGGTGTGCATAAATTAAGTATTCGGTAACAAGCATGAACCACCTGCTTCATAACTACTGTACCCATAAGTATGTAACAACGTGTCTCTAAGAACACCTGGCGATTAGGCTCGTGTGGTTTTATTTTTATTAAAGAGATGAACCCGGTCGAGAAAGAGGTGCCTTCATGGCAACAACGGCTAAATCTCGCCTAGCAAACGAAATATGCAATACTTCGCTTCATGACAATAGAGCGGAGGATGTGTGAGTAGTATTGTTTGTAACAACATGTATACATCCATAGGTGCGCGCACGAGGGGGGCAGGGGGGGGCGCCCCCCATAGTCGTCTGAGAGGGGGGGGGGGGCGCCAAATCAGCCCCAGAGATTGTCATAGTAGGAAGGGGGGTAGGGTGCAAATGCAAAGTCGGTCCCATGTATTGTCATAATAGGGCGGGGAAGGCGCGCTGAGAATAACTTTCAACACCCCCCCCCCCCCCTTGAATGGGGACCCTGGGTACACCTGTGTACAGTATACAGGTGGACTGGTCTTTGCGGACCTTGGTCTTTGTGGAATGCTACAGAGAAATCTTTGACGAAACCGAAAGTCGTTTTTGGCCGAGGAGCCACACGTTATCCGTCGATTATGGCTTCTGCTATAACTGGCTGGTGATGACATGTGGCGTAGAGGGGCGCGAATGCCTATTTGGCAGCTGTGTGTGTTTAGAAATTTTGTGCGTAATCTCTGGCTCCGGTACATCTCCCATAATTCAGTCACATCCTTTGGATACCACGAATACTTGACTTCCACCTCATTTACTTATCCTTTTGCTTTCTTACATCTCTGCCTTAACTTGAGATTGCATACGATCAGGGCTTGTTGAGTCAGCTACATATCTCGTGACCTTTCGGTCTCGCGTCGGATTGTACATGTCCTATCTACATATCCTTTCGGTCTCACGTGAAACTTGCGTCAGGGCGGCACGATATTTGTCAAAAATGTAAGATACCAAAAAGTGTACAACGTGTTTTGGATCGTAGTACAATTCACTCGATTATGTGCTATAATTATTTAAACATCGACGCTACATGATGGCTTACGATTTCTTTTCTAAAGACAGCAGACACCATGGGGCACATGTGGACAATACCACTGCAGAATCACTCATTTCGTGTTTCTTTACGTGCTTTTATAGACAAACATGTAAATTAATATACAAATGCCTTTAATTTGACTTAAAGTTATCCGTCATGCACCGAGCGTGCAGAAAGAATCATGACGCGTGGAGGAAAATGCATCTGCGATCTTCTGTGAAAATAATACTCGTTATTTCTACGCAGAAGCAAACAGCAACGAAATTGTTCGGAAGCGCGTTATCGAGTCGATAGCGTTAAAGAAGAAATTGAACGAATGAGGCACGAGAGATGTTCCCTTCATTGGAACGCGGAAGCCCCAGCTGGCTCCGGGCCAGTCAGTGCAACGAATGCCCGTCACTAACGCCAACGTTGCAGCCATTGTATGGAAGAGTAAGACGGTTTTCCTAGAATCTCACCGCAGTGTATTCTATGTATACCAACACCGGCCTGTCAGATATAGCTATAGACACGCGGGACATGGAGTTGCCTGATCGAGTGAGAGATAGATAAGGCGCACGCGACTGCCGCAGTGAATCCCAAATCACGTGAAAGTCTCGGCGTAACGAGATTGCAAAAAAAAAAAAACAAAAACAAAAAACAACAAATGCTGTCTTCCCCTCGCGTTCTTTCATCAGCTGATGGGCGTATCATCTGGCCTTCGGATAATGAAGACACGGCACCCCGGAAAAGCACTCCCTATAGTCCAGTCGCTATCTCTCGAAACAGAAGACAGCCCCGCCAAGTGGGGCGGCGCGCGCTATCGCGCCCGGGCTATCGGGATCACGGCGGCCAATGGGCCGCCAGGAGAGCGAACGTGATAAGACGGCATGCGTGCGCAAGATAAGCGCGTCGCAGAAGCGTGTACAGAAAGGAGGGGCGGGCTCACCGGGCGAGAGTATCCGGCCCATGGAGTCGGTGGTGTAGGCGGTCTGCGGCATAGCGCCGAGCGACGCACTGTTGTCGTACACGGACCACGACATGTCCGAGCGCAGGTACGGGGTCGAAAAGGGCGCGAATCCGTTGGCCCCGTTGCCGCCGGCCGCCGCCATCCCGCGGCCGTCTTCGACGAGCGCCGCCGCCGAGCCGGGGCTCAGCGCGGCGGGCTGCAGCGTGTAGCCGTTGTGCGTCATCTCGAGCGCCTGGCCCTGCCACGCTTGCGCCTGGGGCATGTAGCTCAGCGGCGGGTACATAGAGGACGGAGGCGAGCCACCCAGCTCGGCTCCCTGGTGCGCGTACGTCGGCGGGCTGAGGCCCCCGCTGCTCGCCTTGACGTACACTTGCTCGGCGGCCACTTGCCGGTTCGGGTAGGGAGAGCTTGCGACGGCGTAGCCCTGCGCGTACTGGGGCGTGCCGTACGTGCTGACCATGATGGTGGAGGAGCTGAGCGACTGATAGAGCAGCTCCTTGTCATCGCCCGCCGGCGGGGGCAGGGCGTCCACCGGGTTCAGGGCCTTCAGGCTACTGATGCTAGCCGGGCTGTGCTCGTCTCCCGGCGCCGCGAAGCTGCATGTCACGGCCACCGGAGTGGGGCCCTGCGGACCCGACGGGGAGCCGCTCGGGGGCGGGGCTTCACCGACTGTCGTTGCGGGAGGCGTGGCCTCGGTTACGGGAGACGCCTCAGCCGCCTCCGAGACCGGAACGACGACGACTCCGCCGGCTAGGGAAACGTGGGGAACTTCTGGGGAAGGATCTCCGCCTTTCGCGGCGGCCGCCGCCCCGGGTGACCACGGCTGCTGCTGCACGTGGTCTCCCGAAGGCGCTTGCGTCGACACGGGTGTCGCCACCTGGTGGGCGACCTGAGCGGCCTGCTGGGCTGCTTGTTGAGCGGCTTGCTGAGCGGCTTGTTGGGCTGCCTGTTGGACCGCTTGCTGCGCGGCCTGTTGAGCGGCGGCTTGTTGTGCGGCCTGCTGCGCAGCCTGTTGAGCCGCTTGTTGGGCGGCAGCCTTCTGTTGCAGCTCTTGCTCCATCGCCCTGCGTCCAGAAGTGTACATAGGTTTATCAGGGAGCTTACGCGATGTTACATTTCTTAAACTTCCTATTTACATCTGATCTTTTAGCGAACGGCACCGAAGACTTTGTTTGATCTTCACCTATCAAAAGACACCACGTTTTGATATCGTACTATAGAGTGAGTTGAAAGTTTTTTATGAAACCAGTACATTACTGGTTCGCCTTGAGTTCAGAACTTCATTGCGGATTTAATGATAACACCGACGCTCAGGCAGTCGCTGTAAACGTTAACTGGTACACATTCAATAGGTTACCTATATAAAAGTGAAGCAGCCAGACTTTTCTTTTTTTTTTTCGAGAGATGATTTTGAACCCCTCTCCCACCCCCTGACTATGGCGGTGCTATATAAAGTATCTCCTTGAAAGATAAATGTAGCGTCTATAAATTGTTTGCATCCACAGCGCGCCATTGCTAACATTTGTAGAAGCACAGAAACAAATACATTGGTGCGTGCACTCACAACAGCACGCTCAAAACAACAGCGAAACCACACGGGGGAGGAAAATGCATCATACCTCCCGCTCACTTAAGTCTAATACGTATTACTGCGCGCGAAAAACAAACATGGTACTCTAATTTGCAGGTACCTCCCATAACACATTTAACTAGCTTATATATATGCCCCACTATTGCATAACCTATTGCAGTTGTCGTATTATAATTAGGTACACAAATAATTAGGTACACAATATACAATTCATGCTACATTTCGATTCTTACATAATCATGGAGTGACGCAGCGTGTTAGTGTAACAGCATTACACAGTTCATTTCGCGCGTCTGCGACTCTCGTTGTGTCGATTGTGGGTTCGGCCGCACTACAACAATGTCTAACAGGGAAACCAAAGTTTCGTGCGCTTTTGGTCTTTGCAGTGAAGCTAATAAAAATTGTTGATGGAATAAATGTATTTTGCTTAATCTATGTACTCGATATTCTCGTAATATATGCAGCGTTCGTTTATAAGTAGATTAGGGTGAGATAAAAATAATATTGATAAAATAAGTTTCCTTTGTTGTTGTGGGTGGAGCCGCTCCTCCTGGGCCCACAAAGGCGTGCACACAAGGAAGGGGGTGCAGGGAGGGGCGAGAGGGGGGTTCAAGGCCAGCCCCATATATTGACATAATAGGTAAGGGGTGAGAGGGGGCGGAAAGTCACCCCATACAATGGCATTATGGGTAGGCGGAGGGCTCTGCGATGACCCCCCCCCCCCCCCCCCCCCCACCTAGCGTTATGCCCTACTGCGGCTCGCCATGCCTGGTCGAATTTGGCTTCCCCAAGCCCTGTTTGGAGAGGGTCACCTGCCACTGGCAAGTGATAAATCTATACCTAATTATCGGTGCGGAGACACATGCTGCATGCATTGGTACGTTGTGTATCAGGGAGGCGTCGCAACGCGGAAATTAGTCGCTGTATCGTTTTGTAAATTTTAGTGGCCAAGCCACTAAAATGTACAGAATGGTTTGGTGTCTTGGTTTGTCAAAAAAGGTGTCTTGGTTTGTCTTGGTTGTTACAAAACGATTTGATGTCTTGGTTTGTCGGCGTGTCATGTCGCCGTCACGGTCTGTCATAAACGGCTACGCGTCATAGAAATAGGGTAACTCCCATTACCACCGGTTCATACTATGCATACTGTGAAGAAGGTTTGACGTTACGGAAACATTGCCTTTGGCTCAGCGGTGCTGTCAGAATACCCAACAAAATTCGCCGAGGCGCTCAGGTATATTGTCTAAAATCAGGAAGATGGACGTTCATCTTTACGATCAAATAATGCATTTGAAATACCGCTTCTCAAAACATATCTGCTGAGTGAAGGTGCGTTGGTGTGGAACGATGCATGGCGAGTAAAACAGTTCGGTTCATTTACACTATGCATATTATTAGTCAAAGGTTCGTTCTTACGACCTAAAACATTATGTTTGGCTTAACAGCGGTTTTAGAACCTCCGACGAAATTTACCAAGGCATTCAAATCCGTTACATAATACCAGAGACTCAAACGTTTATCATCTACGCATAGGTAAAGTCATTTATTTAAAATACCGTTTCCCGAAACACATCTGCTTTGTAACAGTGTGTTTAGTGGACCGGTGGCACTGAAAGCAGTAAAGATTTCGCTGTGAGAAACGCTGGTGAACACTGCATGATTCGCCCTTCATGCGAGTGACGATCAAACACCCTTTCCCTCTCATTGCGTAAACTTCGACCTAATTTTAGGAGCGAAGCTCCTCTTAGTCTAACCTTGTCCCGCGTCAGGCGTAACCGGTGGTATCTCCCGAACAGTACAATAGATGGCGCTGTCCATGGTGGCGCTGTCTCATAGGAATACATGCAAACTGCAGTTGAGTGAGAATATTCTAGATGGCGCTGTACCGCTATTCTCCGATTGGTTGCTGCGCGGACTGTGCATGGGTGCGTGGGGAACGAGTGCCTCTTTCAGTCTCCTGGGTTGCCGCTGTACGTGTCGGATGGTGGGTGGCGCATAGACAAAGCGGAGCGGCTTGCGCGGATGGCTGCTGCGACACTTGCTTGTTGCCAGATAGACAGATGGACGCACGGAAGCATGCACGAAAGCACGGACGCACGCACGGACGGACGTGTGGACGCACGCACGTATAGACAGACGGACGTACGGATGGACGGACGCTTCGCCCCACACATCATTATTCACTCCGTGGATATGTTATTTTTTACATTCTTTTTACACATGCCACGCATTCAACTGGCGCACTTCTGTTTCTGTTTCTTGTACTGCAAAGATAAAATGCACGTGCTTTTCCTCTTTCTTGCATCGCTAGTTTGTATGCATTAGCTTAAAGAGTTTGCCCCGGAGACGAAGCGTCCTATTACTAGGTTTATTACCGATCTGAAATTTCCTGTAGTCGTAACGTAATACATTGCACACCCGCCAGCTTGAGCAGGGCAATCTTGACGGTTGTTTGTTGTGGCATGGACCTAAAGCCACTACTTCAATGTGGTTCCGTTTACAGTGCTTGCCTAGTGCGTTTTGGAGCCGTCAATCATTAACTACGTAATCACCGATGTGACTTCACTGGGACTGTCCCTTGTGGCAAGTGCAGTAAGCATACTCTTGTTTACCAATTGTGCATAGCACAAATTCTGTTCCATAAAGTATGCAGGGATAGCTGGCGTAACCATATCTCTCATAGTAGACTCCGCAGTATTGTGAATGGTGTACTATTTCATTTAAACACGCTACGTCATATTGGAACGAAAGAAGCGGAATGTTCAAGGTTCGTTTTTCTTTGCCAGACACACCGTTAATGAGAACTAACAGTAATCAAACCAAGGAAAGTACCGGTGGTGAATAATTATAGGGACTCGCCCTTTATCGGGTGTGCATGCCCAATCATGTTGCCGCCGGTGCTCTAAACACCCCGCGAAAACTCTCCTGGACATTTCTGCGAATGCTTTCGGAAGTATAGGGGAGTCAAAACAATAACCTTGGACAAAAACAGAAGCGCAGCATGGCTCATCAGCGTTATTTCGTCAAAGAATATCACTTCTCTTCTCGACTCACGTTAGTGTATAGACCCGTAGTCATTTACACGTAAGAGTACTTGTACGTTTTGTTTTTGTTTATTTTTCTGTTTGTTCCCCGTGATTCTATGATGAGATTGGTTCCAACAGTGTTTTTTTTTTTCCTCAGTACTGAGTGTATTCTGAATGTATATTATGTGGAACGAAGCGTGTTTTAAAACGTATACTTTTGTTTGTATATGCCAAAAATGCATGTTCTAAATGTTTGGTTATTTTGAACATATAAAATAAATATATTAAGGAGGGCATGCCAGTATCTTCTACCAATGAAATGTGTAAATACGGGTGAAATATATGTAACCGATGTATATAGTTGTGCGTTGCTGATGTGTAAATTTATATGTCACTGATGCACACTGTTTTGGTTAATAGGGGGTGAGACCTCGTCTGGCTTTTAGCCTTTAGTCTTTGCCTACTGCAGGAAAATTTTGTATTTCTTTCCTGAAAATAACCTATGTCGAATGTTGAATGCAGTGAGCGCACATAGCGCGCACACCGCGATCGAGTATCGCCAAACAAGCTTCCTATATGTGTGAAGGGCAGGCACTCCGTGAGGGTGAACTACATATGTGATAAACACTCTTGAATACGTCTGTCTGTGTAAACAAACTTGACATTACACAGTGAAACCTGAATTGAGCGATTACTCGGCCTCAGAATTGTACAGTCGACAAGTGGAGTTGTATCCTTGAAGGCAGTGATATATAGGCCTATACCTTGAGGGAAACAATGCTATAATAGCCTTGAAAAACACAAGGCTGCTTGTAAAAGCGTTGGCTCGAACGCATAACTCCTGTGTACGGATTTTTTTAACCACAAGCTTCCATCTTCCCCTTTAAGCCGCTTTCTGAATACTTAAGGTATTACAAACTGTGTGCTTCAAATAGCCTTTGCGGCCTATAGTATACTTCCACAAAGCTAGAAACCATAAGGGGAAAGTTCACAACGGACTTTTAGGCGCAGGGAGGGGAAGGAGGTTTTAGCGCATGTGAAATGAACTTAAATTGAACAGCCTGGTTCAATAGAACAAACATTTCAATAAATTTGACTGTTTCTTAACACGCACATAAAATGAAATGATGGCAGAGCTGCAGGTGAAAATTGCATATACACGAGTAACATTACTTTGACGATCCCGCAGCTCCTTTTGTTCCAATACATTCTGAGCAGCAGCCTGTATGTCACACGCACGCACAAAGAGAGACTCATAGAGAGAGAGAGAGAGAAAGAAAAGGCAGGGAGGTTAACCAAGCTTTGGCTCGGTTGGCTTCCCTACACTCAGAGAGGAGGAAAGGGGCGATACTAGAAAGGAGGGGAAAATCACATACGAGAAATCATAATACAGCGAGCAGAAAAAGTTCAATAGGCAAATGTAAAGTAGTGAAAATACCATTGTTAAATG